GGAGTGGGCCTGACAAAGGGGGGTGGAGTTGACTTGCAAGGACATCTTTTCACTTGAACCTCAAGCCTCTGTGCTCCAGGATTCAAAAGATACATGCGTAAAAGATCACAATTGTGTCAAGATATGCAACTGATATTTAATTAGTTTGTTTTGTATTAAGTGTTATTATGTAGGAATGTTGAAATGTGTCTGACAGTGTGGTTATTTCACAAGGGGGGGTATTTTGTGTGTAATTTTTATGTTTAATGTCTTATTGCTTGCACACCAATTCTCATGCATTTTATACTTCTGATAGCTCACACTATTGTGTAGTCCAATGTTTAGATACCACATTTCATTGTCCCACCTGGCACTCTGCCGACTTTCCCTACCATTTTAAAATGTGGCTAAAACTCGCTTTACCAAAGAGAAGCTGATAGATACATGAAGGTGCATATGCTTTGGTTTAGCAGGAATGATCCCTTATAGAGTTAAATTGTCTTATTTGGACAAAGTGCCCTTTAAGAACGGTTTTCCTTTAACAGACTGGTTTGAAAGGTTGAGAACCATGGGCACATAAATTCAAATTGGACTCAGTTTGAATTGGGCAAGTGTATCCAGGCTGCAATTAGCTCTTTGATCCTTAAAGTGCAAGTGAGCAACTCCCATGACTGCAAGACCAGAGCCTGTAAATAATAAAGAAATCCCATGGATTTTGGCCAAGGCAAAGGCATTTCTCTCAGGACGTGCCCGAAACCTGTGCCCAGCTGTGGTGGGTGCCAGGCTACATGATAAATATGAAAGCCCTAAGTGGATTCACCAGGGATTGCCACTACTGCGACACCATGCCGATGTGAGACCACAGAAAAGCTACCTTGACACCTGAGAACACACAAATGGCGGGGGGGAAGCAAACTGCACTTTTTCAGTCATTAGTGGACCTTCCTGCCTAAATGTAAAGCATAGATCACTATTGAGAAAATATTTCTTCCAAGGTGCTAGAATACCACAAGTAACTGAGCAACAAAATATTAATTTACATGATACTATGTGCACTGTCACACCATTATATTTCTATGCAAATATCCTTAAAGTAGCATGATATCCAAGTCCCTTTCAGGTTCACATGGACACACACATCTGGGACGGAGAATACCAGGTTATTATTTACCACCTTAAATTGTGCGGAGAAAAGGATTGCAAAGTAGCCACCTTTGCAATCTTATCTCCGAAGGGGGGAACTGTAGCAGGAACCCCCCCACCCCCAATCATTCTGTTTGTACAAACTTCACACATACTCACACTCACACACTACATACGCCACATTTCTCTTATGAATTCATAGAAAATCAACCATACATCGGATTTGCACTGTTCCATTTTTGTTTTAATATCAAAGGAGGGTGGCTTGGTTTCTGGTCAGCCATAATCTCTTCAGCATACCAGCACATCCACAGGAGCCCTGCCCAGTTGCTATGTCAACCCTGATAATCCCAGACAGAAGACAATCAAAATCACAAAGAACAGTGGATTCACCACAGGCTGAAACAAAGGACAATGATCAGATCTTCCCTCTGGGGGCAGGAAACTGCAAACTCCCCATTGTCACCTGGAAAGTCCTCATGGGGAGGGGGAAAGGAGGAACCAGCCAGGTGACAGGACACTCAGGTTACCACCACAACTCCTCCCTCAACCCCTCCTTTCTGTAATGTATGCATGATGTCAACCCTTTCTGTAACGTATGCATGATGTCAACCCCTCCTTTCTGTAATGTATGCATGATGTTTCTGGGGGTGGGCTTGACCTAGAGGAGGGGAATTTCAAAAGTTTTTATAAGGTCTTGCAGCCCAT